TTTTTTTTTTTTTTTTTGATATGTTGTTGAATTCTGTTGGCTAGAATTTTGTTGAGGATTTTTGTCTCTGTGTTCATGAGGGATATTGGTCTGTAATTTTCTTGTGGTGTCTTTACCTGGTTTTGGTATCAGTGTTATGCTGGTTTCAAAGAATAAGTTTGGGAATATTCCTTTTTCTATACTCTGAAATACCTTTAGTAGTAGTGGTGTTAACTATTCTCTGAAAGTTTGGTAGCATTTTCCAGTGAAACTGTCTGGGCCACCAAGCCATGGTATTTTCTGTCACCTCATGTGCATGCGAAAGCGGGATAATGAATAAGGAAGAACAAAGAACTGACGCCTTTGAATTGTGGTGTTGGCGAAGAATGAATATACACCATGGACTACCAAAAGAACGAACAAACCTGTCTTGAGAGAAGTACAACCAGCATGCTCCTTAGAAGCAAGGATGGCGAGATTATGTCTCACATACTTTGGACATGTTATCAGGAGGGATCAGTACTTGGAGAAGGACATCATGCTTGGTAAAGTGGAGTGTCAGCAAAAAAGAGGAAGACCCTCAACGAGATGGATTGACACAGTGGGTGCAACAGTGGGCTCAAGCATAACAACAATTGTGAGGATGGTGCAGGACCATGCAGTGTTTTGTTCTGTTGTACATAGGGTCACTATGAGTCGGAACAGAGTCGACAGTACCTAACGACAACAACAGCCTAACAAGTATGTAGGTGCTCTGTAAAGATGGGATGCAATAGATGTCTGTGAGTCTCAAAATGAAAGCGATCTAAACTATTTTATGGCTATAGAGAGACATCTACGTAGACAGGACAATTGAAACAGATAGATGAAATCACCCAAATTGTGTGTGAAAGAAAAGAAAAGGCGGGGACTTCATACCAGTGTTTAAAGGGTACTTAGACATTGAGTTGACAAAGACAATCAAGAGAGTGAGTAGGGACAGTAGTATAAGGGAGGAGAACCAAGAGTCACTTAGAAACAGAGTATCTATTGCTGTATAACAAACTACCCCAAAATTTAATGGTTTAAAACAACCACAATTTATTATTTCTTATGAGTCTACAGGTGAGCAGGGCTTATCCCGGTAGGGTTCACTCATACGTCTGCAATCAGCTATCGGGTTTGGTAAGGCCAGACTAGACTAGGATGATTTTCACTGGGTGGTGCAAATAGTAAAGTTTTCTAACTCACCCAGAGGTTCCTTGGAAGGAAAGGCCTGGTGTTCTGCTTCTGAAAGGTTTCAGCTTTGAAAACCCTGTGGAGCACAGTTCTGCTTTGCAATACATGGGGTCGCCATGAGCCAGAATCAACTCAACGGCAACTGATACAGTACAGTATGTCTCTCTTATCTCCCCACCATGCTAGCCTGTGTCTTATAGTTCTTGCAGGGATTGAAGAAAGGAAACAGCAATGCTCAAGTGCTTTTTCAACCTCTGCTGTATCAAGTTTCCTCTTGTCTCATTGGCCAGAGGAAGTCACATGACTAACTCAGAGTCAGTGTGAGAGAGCACTACAAAAGTCCTTGGATACAGAGAGTCATGAAAGATTGGGGCTAACTGGGACAATTAATTCAGTTTCCCACACCAAGATAGGAGAAAAAAGTTTTAAGAGAAAATAGATAGCAGTCTTATGCATCACAGAGATCAAATAGGATAAGGGATAGAACAGGCTATTGGATTAATAATTAAGAGCTCATTAATGGCCTTAGCCAAAACTGATTCAGTATTGTTGAGACAGAACCTTGATTGCAGTGAGTTGGGGAATTGAAGAAGAGGAGCCATTAGAAATACTGGATGAAAGGCAGACAGGTTAGGAGGTTCAAAGAATGGTTAAAGTGGTTCTTTGTGGAGGAGATTGAGGAAAGGTTCCATCTGCCCTATCCTTTCCTGGAAACCATCCAGGAAAGATTGAGCAGATTTGTAGACTGAGGGAAAGAACTGGAGAATGGGAAATTAAAAATATGTGAGTGGGAAGGATTGCTGGAGCGAGGCTCTGACATTGGGGAAAGAACGAGATGAAGACCCCAGTGGAGGAGTTACCGTGAACAGCAAGAGAACACCACCTCTGTGTTTCTGACTGGGTTCCTCTTACTGGTTCCTGGTAACAGTGCGTCTGTTTTGAAGCAAAATAGACAGCTCTTTAATATATTGAATTTCTTTTATTGCTGTTTTTCTTATTGTTCCAGTCTGAATAAAATATCTAGTCTTTATTTTGAAAATAAAATGTTGTATGTTTTATTTGCTTTAAATAACATTTTTTCTGCCTATGTAAGTTTCAGAACATTACAAATATTGTATAGAAAACGATTAACTCTAATTCAATGTGTATACACACTTTTTTATTTTCTATTTTTGTATTTTTTTGTAATTTATACTCAAAATACTGTTTTTGTTGTAACACTTTAGATTAACCTTAGTTATGATTTTTTTTTTACATAAGAATGACTAAAGTTACAGTTACTAAAGCAGATGCTTACTAAAACTTTCAAGTCATAAAAATTATAAGGAATTGTAGCAGATCTTTTCATTATGTTTTTCTTTCAGTGCTCCACTTCCTTAACCCAGTTCAACTAAAATAATCACTGTGAAAGTTCTCTATACATTTATACTCTTTCCTTAACTCTCTTTCTCTAGTTCAAGGATTCGATTTTTTTTTTCTGTCAAGACCACAGACCCATAGACAGAAATAACACTCAACACAAAGCATGTAAAGAAATTTTAATTGGACTAGATGAGGGCAGTGGTGGTGGGAATTCTATTTAAGAAATCTTAAGCATTTTTGTTTTCCTATTAAAATTTAAAACAATGCATGGCAACCAAATGCAATATGTGAACCTTGATTAGATCCTGGATCAGAGGAAGAAACAGCTATAAACAACATTTTGAGGACCAAAAAAAGTTGCTGTCGAGGCATTTCCAACTGATAGTGACCTATGGAACAGAGTAGAACTGCCCCATAGGGTCTCTAAGGAGCAGCTGGTGGATTTGAACTGCTCCTGAGGATAAATAGGGAAATCTAAATATGGACAGGAGAGGAATGATATCAAGAAGGAAAAAGAGAGAGAGAAAGAAGGGGAGAGATTGAGGAAGAAGGCAAAGGGGGAGGAAATATATGTGATTAAGATGTTCAGGCCAACTCTGTCCTTCATTGGCGAGGCCATCAGGTGGGGCATATTCATTAGGTGCTATTATTGAATCAGTGTTAAATTTCTTGGGTGTGGTGATTGTTTTGCGGTTATGTAAAAGAAAGTCCTTGTAGAGGTGAAGTATTAGTTCTGCAGCTTATTTTCAAATGGTTCCGAGAAAGAAAGAAAAAGTAGAAAAATGCTAACAATTGATGAATCTAGGTATTCTCTCAAATTTTCTGAAAGTTTTAATTTTTTCAAAATGAAGAATTGGTAAAAAATTAACATGGGAACATAGCACTAGATAAGAAATATGAAACAATGTAAATATGTAGTTTATTTCTGTATTATGTCATTTAATATAAAGCACTACAACAAAGGAATGGTATCAAGAAAAGAAGCTAGAAGGAGAGATTATGAAGAAGGCAGAAAGGGAAGAGATTAATAAATAATAAATATTTATTAAAATAATAAATATGTTAATAAAATCAAAATATTAATCTCTTAATAAATGAGATTAAGGGAAGGTTGGGCTCTAAAGTAAATTTTGGAGCTAGCTCTGCCTTCACTGGCCAGGAACATCAGGTAGCCTTTAATGGTCACTGCACTTATTACTTGTTCTTTCTACATAGGAAAGGAACTTACCTATCTTTGTGTTTTAATTTGAAGTGTATTTTTGAACTTGTAGGAGAGCTCCAAAATTGAGGTGCCTGGCGTATATCAAACTGACTGGCCTGGGTCTGAGCCCCAACTCCATTTTAGCCTTTGCCTATTCCTCAGCAACAGTTAACATTTGAGCAGAGTTAATCTTGCAGCTAAGAAAATGTTTTTCTCTGCAGTTAAGCTAAGGATGTGGAAACAATGTTTCTAAAAGGAGGGTCTTGACACAAGCTCCTTATCAGAAATCTCCTGCTCAGGCAACTCTCTGGGAGTGTTTGCTAAGGATGCTGTCTTAGCAGAATAGTCTTATAAAGGAATGTCCTATGATTGTCTTACGACCACTCTGTAAACTCCCCTTTAGTCACAAACTTCTGCAATTATCTAAGGTAACCAATCTAAGAAGCCCACATATACACTTTAAACCAATCATTTTAAAGCTCCTGCTTCGAGTTATCCTGTCTTCTGCTTCCCTGATCTTGTAACTTCCAATCAGAATATTGTACCTTTAGTTCCTGATTTTTACCTCATAAATATGCCTCTGTAACTCCACCATTTTGGAGCGTTTGATTTCACTTTGTGAGATCTAACATATCCCAAGTTTGAACTGTCTTAAACCTTCAGTAAATCTCTTTGCTTTTGCTTTTAACAGAGTATGTGTTTTTACTCTGACAAACTACAGGTTTACTTCTCATGTAAATATTAAGACCCTGCATATTACAAAATGTCTAAAGACATTTTCGTTGGAAGTTTGATCAGTTTGTACAGTTATTTTGAAAATCTCTTTGATATTTACAAGCTGACTATTTTATCTTTTATTCTTAAATGATTAGGGTGACCTAGTTCCACATTGTTTGCAAGTTACATCGGGAGTAATAGGCCTAGGAACATGTAGACTTGAAATTAAATCAGCATAAATAAGAATTCTGTCATTCCTTTTCAGCTCATTCTATGGCTTCGAAATCCTCCATCCCTCTGAATTAAAAATGCTAAAGTTGAATTCTCTTTCTGTTAAACAGGCTGCTTCCTTGGGATTGCTACAGTTTCCTATCCTTAATGCTTCTGTGGATGAAGCCTGCCAGAACATAACATATAAGGTTTGTTATGCATTATGAAAATGTTCTTGTTAAAAATAGAAAATGGTGCAAATGTGCCTGTAGGTTAGAGATACTTCTGTTGTACCTCAGATAGTGATCTTTTTTCAGACTTGACAGGACTGCCTTGTTTTTCCGGGTGTCAAAAGTTTTCCGCCTTTGATAGGGTGCAGTCTTACCACTTTTCTATTGCTCCTTTTCGTGGAAAATATTTGAGTTTTCCTTCTCTGACAGGTTTCTGCCTTAAACAGGTTCTGTCTGTCACAGGTTTTACTGTATTAAATTTAAGTATAATTTATTGTTTTTACTAGTTAATAGTAACACTGTTCAGATATACACATTGCCATTTTTAAGCCCTTTTGGTTTTCTGCTTAAAATAATAGAAATATACAGCTGAGAGGCAATGGATTATGTTACCTACCCCACATCCCCTCTCCTCAAAAAGTAGAAGCTCTCTCAAAAAGCTCTCCCTGGAATTTTTAAAGCAAGAATAATTTATAAGAGGAAAGTAATGAACATTTCAATTCAGTTTGAGTGAACTCTCCAGTTTGGAGTGAAAGTTTATTAAGACTGATAACTTTTTTGGGGATGTCAGTCCTTATTTACATTTCTCATTAGAAATATACACCCAGATGGTGAGTAGCATCTAGGGTCTTAAAAGTTTGTGAATGGCCATCAAAGATATACCTACTGGTCCCACGCCATCTGGAGCAAGGGAGAATGAAGAACACCATAGATACAAGGGAAAGATTAGTCCAAAGGACTAATGGACCACAACTATCACAGCCTCCACCAGACTGAGTCCAGCACAACTAGATGGTGCCTGGCTACCACCACTGACTGCTCTGACAGGGATTATAGTAGAGGGTCCTGGACAGAGCTGGAGAAAAATATAGAACAAAATTCAAACTCAGAATAAAAAGACCAGAGTTACTGTTCTGACAGAGACTGGAGAAACCCCAAGAGTATGGCCCCTGGACACCCTTTTAACTCAGTAGTGAAGTCACTCCTGAGGTTCACCCTTCAGCCAGAGATTAGACAGCCCATAAAACAAACAATAATATGTGTAGGTCAACCATGTATATGAGACTAAATGGGCACACCAGCCCAGGGGCAAGGACAAGAAGGCAGGAGGGGACAGGAAAGCTGGATGGATGGAAACAGGGAACCCAAGGTCGAGAAGAGGAGAGTGTTGACATGTCATGGGGTTGGCAACCAATGTCTCAAAACAATCTGTGTATTAATTGTTTAATGAGAAACTAATTTGCTCTATAAACTTTCACCTAAAGCACACACACACAAAAAAGCAAATTAATTCATTAATTAAATTGAAAAAAAAGAAATATACAATCAGAAAGTGAACTTAGATGTTTTTTTTTTTTGGGGGGGGGGTCTATGCTAAAATATATTCCCATATGATTAATATAGAAAGACTTGAAAACATAGCTGATTTTGTTTTGCGATTAAAATTGAGTTATAAAGACGTGAAGCTGGCTATATTGATTTTAATATTTTCTGATTAAGTATGTTCTTATTGCACACATCTCAGATAAGAAAATAACAATGTTTGCCTTCAGTCCCATGACCCTAAACTTACTGTTTTTGTTGAGATATACATACTTTCAGGATTTAATTTTCACATGCTTTTTTTAAAAAAATATGGAATTATACATATTTTTCTTTGACTGTCTTTAATAGCTTATGGAAATCATTACATGTCAGTAAATATAGCTCTGTTATTGTTTATTTAAGCACTGACCTATCAGTAAACATTTTGATTATTTGCAGTTTCTCAAAATTAGAAACATTATATATTCAACCTCCATGTGCATCTCTTCATACTTCTGCATTTATCTTCTTAGCATAAATTTTTATAAATGGAATTTTTGGTACATATTGTCAGATGTTCTCCAAAAAGTCTATACTAGCTTACATTCCCACTAACAATGTAGGGAAATGGCCTGTTGCCCTATATTCTTGTCAGTAAATTATTATCTTTCTCAACAAATCTTTTAAAAAATCTTTTTAATCATTGCCAATCTGTCGAAAATAATTTATGATGGTTGTTTTAGAAGATAGAGCCCTGGTGGTGCAGTGGTTAAGAGTTTGGCTGCTCACCAAAAAAGGTCGGCAGTTCGAATCCACCAGCCACTCCTTGGAAGCCCTATGGGGCAGTTCTGCTCTGTCCAGTAGGGTCGCTATGAGTTGGAATCAACTTGACGGCAATGGATTTTTGGGTTTTTAGAAGACAATGAGGGTTGATCCTTTCTTTCCTGTTAGCTTATTTATTAAAAGGCCTATTGTATACTTCTTATTTTTTTAGGCTTCTCATAATATTGGAATAGCAATGGATACTGAGCAGGGGTTGATCGTCCCAAATGTGAAAAATGTTCAGATCTGCTCTATATTTGAGGTTGCCACTGAATTGAATCGCCTCCAGCAGTTGGGCTCTACAGGTCAGCTTGGAACCACTGATCTTACAGGAGGGACATTTACACTTTCCAATATTGGATCTGTGAGTAATACTAATGTTCATATTCATAAACTGTAGCTTAAACTCAAGAAAAGTTTTAAACACAGAAGAAAACATTCTTTGATGGTTACGAGGGTGGGGAGGGAGAGGGGAATTCACTAACTAAATAGTAGACAAGAATTATCTTAGGTGAAGGGAAGGACAACACACACTACAGGGGAAGTCAGCACAACTGGGCTAAACCAAAGTTAAGAAGTTTCCTGAATACAACCAGACACTTCAAGGGACAGAGTAGCAGGGGCAGGGGTCTGGGGACCATGCTTTCAGGGGACATCTAGGTCAATTGGCATAACAAAGTTTATTAGGAAAATGTTCTGCATACCACTTTGGTGAGTGGCGTCTGGGGTCTTAAAAGCTAGCAAGTGGCCATCTAAGATGCATCAATTGGTCCCAACCCACCTGGAGCGAAGGAGAATGAATAACACCAAAGACACAAGGTAAGTATTAGCCCAAGAGACAGAAAGGGCCACATAAACCAGAGACTTCATCAGTCTGAGAGCAGAAGAACTAGATGGTGCCCGGCTACCACCAATGACTGCCCTGACAGGGAACACAACAGAGAGTCCCAGATGGAGCAAGAGAAAGGTAGAGTGCAGAACTCAAATTCTAGTAAGAAGACCAGACTTAATGGTTTGACTGAGACTGGAGGGACCCCAGAAATCATGGCCCCTGGACTCTCTGTCAACCCAGAAGTAAAACCATTCCCAAGGCCAACTCTTCAGACAAAGATTAGACTGGACTATGGAACATAAAATGACTCATGAAGAGTGTGCTTCTTAGCTCAAGTAGGTACATGAGGCTAAATGGGTAGCTCCTGTCTGGAGGCGAGATGAGAAGGCAGAGAGTCACCTAACAATGTATGTATAAATTTTTGTATGAGAGACTAACTTGCATTGTAAACTTTCAGTTAATGCACAATAATTTAAAAAATCGCAAGAGGAAAAAGGATTTTCAAAGTTTAGAAACAATTGAAAAAAGGAAAGATGAGTAATTTTAATTGTCAGGATGGGAGGAGTCTATCATGCTATTAAATATCATTTGGCAAAAAATAAAAAACTTTAGCTTAAGATTTCTGATCATGTACTCATTTAAAAATATAAAATGTCATTTGCCGTTTGTCCCCCTAAAGTTTAATTTTTTACTTTTCCATTTTTTTAGATTGGTGGCACCTATGCCAAACCAGTGATAGTGCCACCTGAAGTAGCAATTGGGGCTTTTGGATCAATTAAGGTATGTTTATTAAATAATTGAAAAACAGAGTTTTAAGCAAATTGAGGAGAGGTAAACACAAAGAAGAGTACCTGTTGAGGTTTTCCCCTCACTCAGTAGGTTTGAGTTTGCAAAGTTTTATTCATTAAGCCTATTATTTCTTCCTAAGAGCTAGGCCTGCAATTCCAGTGGCTGCCTCTGCATATAGTAAATGGTGGTAATCTGGACTGTTTCTGTGTGGATCAACCATTGTGCATTATGCCAGGCACAGTTGTGAGTCTTTGGGGATAAGCACAAATAACGGTCATTTTGCTTCTATGAAAATATCTTTATTTCAAAATCCCAAAGAATAATAGTAATCCCATCCAAATTGTTATTTGTAGCAAAGTGAGACACTGTTTAGAGCCTTTTTCTCTTTACTCTGTTCAAGAAGCATTGGGAGTGCCAGCTAAAAATGCAGATTTCTTGGCCTTGAAACAAGAGTCCCCAGAACTTATGTTTTAAACAAGAACCCAGGCAGTTCCAACACAGGTAGATCTGTGGTCATGTTTAGGGGAATTTAGAGTAAAGGTTGCAGTGTTTCTCAATCCTGGTTGCACATTAGAATCCCCTGAGGAGCTTAAGAAAATCATGCTCGATCTTTCCCCATACGAGCTGAATCAGAGTTTTAAGGAATGGAACCTGGACATCCCTATTAACTAAGTTGAGAACCACTGTGTTAAAGAAATAAGCTCCTGGATACCATGTTGATACCACCTTTATGAGTGTCCTTTGTTATTAATCACTACATTAACCTTGGTTTTGCTCTTTATGCTTTAAGGAGAACCTTTCTTCTTCATGCTTAATGATTCCACACTGAACATCTCTGGGACTTGTCTTTCATGAGTTTACTTTTTTGTTGGCACTCAAAACCCTCACAGACACTTTCATATAGCCTTTGATCTGCTTTCTAGCAGATACCACTTTAGCTGCTAAATTACCCCCTCTTCCTAATATCCACTTTCCCTTCTGGCACACAGAGGAGATAGGGAGAAAAAAACAAAAGGGTATAGTCCTTTTGATCACAGTATGAGACCTTTCTTTCCAAATCAGGGGTTTCTCTGAGTGATAACTTCTCTATCATTCTCCTCCCAACAGGAATTCAATATTTGATTCTCACAAAATTCTTCTAGCTTCCTACAGTTTCCAAATCATCACACCTGTTTGACAAAGTTTATTTTTCCTTAAAGAGATTTCTTTTCTTCTGATTTCTTTAGATACATTTTTACAGAATCATTTTACCCATGGTGTCTTCAAGCTATGAGGCATAGTTCTTAGCGTGTAAATCTTCATAGTGACTTAATTTGTTGGATAGGGACAAATAGTATTTAATTCCTTTCTTCCTTTACGGTATCTCTCTTTTGCTATTTTCTGTTTTCACTCTACATTTTTAAACTTCTTGTTGCTAAATTGTTGTTGAGTAACCTCCAAACCAAACCTGTTGCCCTCAAGTCATTTCTCATGACCTTATATGTTACAGAGAAGAATTTTTCCTTAGAGTTTTCTTGGCTGTAATCCTTACAGAAACAGATTGCTGGGCCTTTATTCCATGCCACCACCTGGTGATTCAAATCTCCAACCTTTGGGTTAGTAGTTGAGCAGAAACCATTTGTACCACCCACGGACCTCTAAGTAACGTCTATGTTACTCAGTTCTGATTCTTATCTTTCTTGACCTGCTAGCTGCACTTGAGACAGGCAATCACTCTTATCTCCTTGGAACACTTCTTCATCTTGGTTTGCAGAATACCACACCATCCTGGTTTTCTTCCTGTCTCTGCCTGTTCCCCTGAGTCTTCTTTGCCCACACCTCCTCATATTCCCAATCTCTGAACATTGCCATGCCCCAGGGCTCAGTCCTGACCCTTTTCTTTATCCACACCCACTCCCTTGGTGATCTTATCTGTTCACATGCTGATACGCTCAGATCCATATCTCTAGATCTGACCTCTCCTTTGAACTACGAACACTTACATCCTGCTTGAATGTCTAATAAGCATCTTGAATTCTAACATACCCAAAACTGAGCACTTGCTTTACCATCTCCCACCCGCAAGCCTGCTCTTCCCCTTTTAGTGAATGGTCATTCTGCTTAGAAACCTCCAGTGACTTCCCATACCACTCAGAATAAAAGGCAAAATACCTACAATGGCCCTACACTGGTGCTACTCAGAGTGTGATCAGAACCCGTCCAGGTCCACGACTACTGTATCCAGGCCATGAGGAGATAAGTACAGAAAGGGAGAATAGGGCTTAGAAACTTTTATAGCAATTTGACAGTGATTTTACATCTGTTGAATCTAGTAATAAAAATTGGAGCTTATATTTTGTGTGTCTTTTTTATTTTTGTAATAATTCATTGTCAATTAAAAAAAAGAAAGTTGTTTACCAAAGACAGCTTGTGAAGAACTGCCCTTAACAATGCGCCCCACCTTCACCCCTCTCCATCTGTGACCTCACTCATCTCCTGCCATGCACTGACACCCTCCACTCCAGCGCTCCACTCACGCTTCCCCTTCGTCCCTTCCTTCAGGTGTCCTTCAATGAGGAATCCTCTAGGTGAGACTTTCCCTGCTCACCCTGACAAAAAAATGCCACCTATCCCTACCTCCACCCCCTGCCAACACTCTATCCCTTTTCCAAACTGCTTTTTTTTTTCCTTTGCACTTTTCACCATCTAACATATTATATGTTTTTATTTATTTATCTTAGTTGTCTCTCCCCATTAAAATGTTAGCTCTAAGAAGACGGAGCTTTGTTTTGTCTAGCCCCAGAGCCTAGAAGATACCTGGCACCTATTGTTGTTGTTAGGTGCCGTCGAGTCGGTTCCAACTCATAGAGACCCTATACCTGGCCCCTAGCGATCCTATACCTGGTACCTAGTAGGTGTTTAATAAATATTTGTTAAGTAATTCAAGTCCAAGATAAAATTTAATGTAGGTATGGCAGATGTACAGGGGACAGGAAATAACGGAGAAATACTGAAAAATTGAGGCATATACACACAAAAATGATGGGAAGAGTATGAGCATTTTCAGAAGTCATCTAGGCTGCCCATTCCCTTTGTATTGCAGGGAGGGGGGTTGTCTGATCTTATGCCACTGCTGTTGCTGGAACTTGAGCTTTGAGCAAGTGAAGGTTACTCTTTGTTCTTTTCCTTATTTCTAGGCCCTTCCTCGATTTAACCAGAAAGGAGAGGTATATAAGGCCCAGATAATGAATGTGAGCTGGTCAGCTGATCACAGAGTTATTGATGGTGCTACAATGTCCCGCTTCTCTAATTTGTGGAAATCCTACTTAGAAAACCCAGCTTTTATGCTACTAGATCTGAAATGAAGATGGATAAGACATCCTTGAACTTTTCGTGCTTCCAAAGAATATATAAAGCCTAGCTGTGCTAGCACATGCTGTTCATTGCAATTTGTAATATAAATGATTTGGCACAATATTTATCACTATTCTGTTAGACTTTTTACTGAAACTGATAATGGTGTAATAGTTCTCCTGAGGCTGTCCTGTCACATTTTATAGGTAATTAAAAAAAAAAACCAAACCCGTTGCAGTTGAGTCGATTCCAACTCATAGCAACCCTATAGGACAGAGTAGAACTGCACCATAGGGTTTCCAAGGAACAGCTGGTGGATTTGACCTGCCAACCTTTTGGTTAGCAGCTGAGCTCTTCACCACTGCGCCACTAGGGCTCCTTATAGGTCATAGTGTGACTTAATGTGCTGCTGAGATCTCTTTGTCAATGGATTAGAACTGGCAAGAACATAATGTTACTAAAAGACAGGTAGCCATATACAGTATTTGCCCTGTTCTTTTTTTTTTTCTTTTTTAACTGACTCTTAATGAAACTTTCCGTTCAACTATTAGTTGGGAAAAGGAATTTATATACAAAAATGTTTTCCATTTCCCTGCAATAATGCAAATTGTTGTATAAAGTAAGTGGAATTATACTTTTAAAATATCCCGGTATATTCTTTCTCTATAGAGATTATCATCTGTAAATGACTTGTTTATATAAATTAATGTCTTTTAAAAGGGAGAATTATAAGCTGGTCATAAAAATGCCGAATTAATAGTTTTATAACCTGTAAGACTATTAAAGGTGTTTGTTTAAAATAGATAAACTTTTAGAATTTTGCTAATATTTTGATGTTTTGTTGGGAGAACTTCACTTTCACAAACGTGCTTTGTGTAAGGAAGGTACTTTAAATGTAGCAGCCTCTGGCATTTTCTTACGTTCAGAAATCTACTTCCTTTTAACTTTCTTGGTCTTCAGCTAAAAAACAGGATAGGATAAGAAACTGAGGTCTATTCTATCCTCCATATCCTGAGTGGGAAAGTGAATAAGAGGACAGAGAAGAATTTAGTGAGTATTATGGGCAGAAAAATAAAATAATAAATGTGATACAGAAATGAATGTGTCATAATGATCATTTTGTTAGAGGCCCACTATTAGAAATAGCATCAAAATGAGTATAGTCCAACATTTTGATTTGCATTCAGAGATCCAGGTCCTTTCTAATGCTGTCTATATGAATACTGTATGCCAAAATTAGTTAGTCAAGTGAAATGTTGTGACAGAAAAAAGTAGTTTTGATGTCCTCTTGATTTTTTTTCAAAATGGGAATAATTGTTTAATCAAAAATAATAAATCAAATAATTCAGATAATAAAGTTATAAAGAAAAATCATCCATAATCCTACCACTATTAACATTTTAATCATGTAGCTGTATACATAGCTATTCTTTTTATAAAAATGGATTATACTATAGCTATTATTTGATAATTTGATGTTTTTAATTTAACAATATATTATGGGTAACTGTATGTATCAATAAACAGTTCTATATTATCATAACTTTAAATGACTGCATAGTATTTCATTGTATGTATGTAATCATACACTCAAATACTGATTGAGCATCTACTGTGTACCACGTACAATGCTAAGTACTGGTTACACATTGCCTACCCTCCTGGTCCCTGACTTCATTAGGCTTGTAGCCTAGTGGAAGAGAGAGCTGTTAAATAATCATAAAAATATAATTACATACCTAGGTAGAAAAAAATCTAATAGGGGTTCCTGATTCTGTCTGGGGGAATCAGGAGATGGATGTTTCATAATTTACCAATTCTCTATTGATGGGCATTTGCTGAATTTTAGATGAGGAATTTGACCTTCACTTAAAGAATGTGAAAACTAGGAGAAAAGGAGTCCTGAAATTAAATATGCCGCTGTTGAAAAGAAGGTCCAGCATTTTGGGCTCAAGATGTTCTCTACATTCCCAAAATAACTCTTGAGCTGTCTGTTCTATCCCACCCCCCTACCATTACCATCTTTTCTTTAGTCTCATCCATTGGGAATTCAACAAAGGATTTGCTCCTTGCCATGTGCAGGACCTTTCCGAGGAGGAGACCAGAGGTCCTGGACTATAGCCCTAGCAGCAGTTCTGAGCCAGCAGGCTCTACACATTACAGCGGGGGTCAAGGCTTTTGCTGTATTCCTAAATGTTGAAATTAAAGGGGAGAAGCCAGAAAATTCACATACTTCATTAATACATCTGGGGGTTAGAAGGCATCTATGCAAAGGGAGAAGCCAAAATTATTGCTGGAAATGGTCAACAAGAACATCAAGAGTCCATTCATTATGTAGACCATCACTCTGACATTTGAGAAGGAGACACAATAGGGAAGGAAGTTTGAAGGACAGGAGCCTGAATTGGTATTAATTTCCATTTTGGAAACCAAAAAATACCTTATGTTGAAACATTCCAAGAAGTGGTTATATAGGAAGAAGAAACAAAAGTGACAAATTCTTTGCCCAGAAAGTCCACTGATCTGTTTGGGCATTTCTCTTTGCTTTCCAGTCAAAGTGAATTCCAGGGATCATTTGATGGATTTCCTTGCTGACTATGGTTTGATAGTTGATGGAGTACACCAATGTTCATTGCAGCACTATTCACAATAGCCAAAAGGTGGAAACAACCTAATTGCTCATCAACAGATAAATGGATAAACAAAATGTGGTACATACATACAATGGAATACTACTCAGCCAGTAGGGGAAATGAAGTCTTGATACATGCTACAGTATGGATAAAGCTTGAAGACATTATGCTGAGCGAAATAAGCCCATCACAAAAGGACAAATGCTATCTCACTTATATAAAAAGACAAGAAAAGGCAAATATATAGACACCAAAGTTTATTAGGGGTTACCAGGGGTGGGAAAAGGGTGGTTAACAGTATTGGAAAAATTGCATTGATTAAGGGTAGGGTTGCGCAACTGATGTAATTGCTGTCAGTAAGTTGTACACTTATAAAAGGCTGAATTGGGAAAGGCTGTGTGATAGATATATTTATAACAATGACAAAAAAAAAAAAGATTAGCTGCTGAGGCTGCTTATGTACAACCAAACATCTCTTGGGATTTGGTTCCTTGGTTTGGAGGTTTAGGGTCATGATTTCATGGGATATCCTAGTAAATTGGCCTACCAACATGTTTAGTGCTTTTGTTTTACCTTTTAGTTCATTGTGTGGTGCCTGGAGTTTTAAAAGCTTGTAAGCATCCATTCAAGACACAACAATTGGTCTTTATTCACCTGGAGCAACAGAGGAGGAAGGAGAATAGGAGGAGGAAATGGAATGTGTGGCTAATTGCCTCCATGAACAACTTTACCAAGAGACCAGAAGAACTGGATGGTGCCCAACTATCATTACTGAACATTTTGATCAAAGATTCTATAGAAGAATCCTGATCAAAAGGGGGAGAATGCAGAACAGAATTTAAAATTCCCATCAATTCCAGACTTTCTGAAACCATGGAGGCTGGATGAACCCCTGAAACTATTGCCCTGAGATAATCTTTAAACCTTAAACCAAAAATATCCTCTGAAATCTTGAAAGCAAACAACAGCTTAGCTTAACTAATAAAGAATGTCTGCCTTGAGCATTGTGCTCTTTTAAGATCTATCTATATGGGATCAAATTGACAGGAGCAAGTCTAAAGATTAGATGGGAACCTTAGGGACCAGTGAGTTTATTATGTTAATGGGGGAGGAACAACTCAGAAAAGGAGGGTGAGAATGGTTGCACAACTCTAATGTAATCAATGTCACTGAATTGTACATGTCAAAATTGTTGAGTTGGTGTACGTTCTGCTGTGTATATTCTCAACAACAACAGCAACAAAATAAATAGATTTTTTTAAAAAAACAAGAATGCTACAGTCTTTGATCGAACACATTATAAAAGAAAGCAAGTCATTCTCCTTCAAGATTGACTGTATTATAAATCACAGAATATGAGGCCTGCAAAGTATAAAACACTGATGCATTTGCTTAACAAATCTGAAGTCAAGGTTAATCATACAGGTAAGGCAGAAACTGATGTCAAGTATCTCCATCACTTATTTCTCCCCTAAAAATACTAAATAAGCTGGTATCCTATCTTTATGAGAACAAGTCTAGAAATGACTGTGCTTTTCAGTTGAAGAGACACGTCTTTACATTGTAATTTGAAATTGGGATTTGATATACAGTCACTAGCAGTAGACTTTATTCTATTTATTGGAGAATTAGTTCAGAAAGGAAATACCCTCTCCACTCTTCTCAGAGGTGTAATTAGAGTAAAACCAGGGAAAGATCTTTGATGGGCAATGTAGGAGGACTGCAGACATTAGCCATGTTATTATATCTTCCCATCTAATTTGTATCTAGAGGAGGAAAAGGACTCTGTTCAAACATCCTTAGATTGCCATTTTTAAGAGTTCCAGGAACAATTTTTCTAAGTTTAAAGAGACTGAATGAAGTCATCAAGTTAATATTTATTCAAATTCTTATTGTTGGTAGGTGTCATGGATTGAATTTTGTCTCCCAAAAATGTGTGTCAGTTTGGCTAAGCCATGAGTCCCAGTATTGTGTTGTTGTCCTCCATTTTGTGATCTGATGTAATTTTCCTCTGTGTTGTAAATCCTAATCTCTTCCTGTGGTTAATGAGGGAAGATTAGGTTGTGTTAAAGAGGATTAGGGTGGGATGCAACACCCTTACTCAGGTTACAGCCCTGATCCAATGTAAGGGGAGTTTCTCTGGGGTGTGGCCTGCACCTCCTTTTATCTTACAAGAGATACAAGGAGAGAGATGGGACCTCATGCCACCAAGAAAGAAGCATCGGAAGCAGAGCACATCCTTTGCACCTGGGTTCCCTGTGCTGAGAAGCTCCTAGACTAGGGGAAGATTGATGACAAGGACCTTCCCCCAGAACTAACAGAGAGAGAAAGCCTTCCCTTGGAGCTGGCACCCTGAATTTGGATTTCTAGCCTCCTAAACTGTGAGAGAATAAATTTCTCTTTGTTAAAGCCACCCACTTGTGGTATTTCTGTTATAGCAGCACTAGATAACTAAGACAGTAGGACATCGGTTTTAAATAAAATTTTTGACAAAGTATGGTTATACTTTCTATGTGTAGTGTGTCTATTCTACAGCACATTTGCATTCCTTGGTTAATCAACATGTCTAGTACTTTTAAGCTCATTTTAGATTTTATAGAAACTAAATCATCATTTTGGTCTGTAAAATGATTATTATAAATGATTTATTTACCACTACTGACTGCTCTGACTGGGATCACAACGGAGGTCCCTGGACAGAGTGGGAGAAAAATGTACAACAAAAAATCAAATTCACAAAAAAGATCATACTTACTGGTCTCACGTAGACTGGAGGAACCCCTGAGACTATAGCCCTAAGAAGCTATTCTGACCTGGAACTGAAGCCATTTCCGGAGGCCACCTTTCAGCCAAACAATAGACAGGCTCATAAAATAAACAATAACACCTGAGAGGAACATGTTCCTTAGAACAATCAAGTATACAAGATCAAAAGGACATTTACCTAAAAGCAAAGATAAGAAGGCAAGAAAGGGTAGGAAAACCAGAGGAAAGGAAACTGGGAAACCAGGGCGGAAATATGGAGAGTGCTGACACATTGTGGGGAATGCAGTTAATGTCAGGGAGCACGTTACGTACAAACTATCAGATGGGAAACTAATTTGCTCTGGAAACTTTCACCTAGAGCACAATAAAAAAATTTAAAAAACAAATAAATGATTTATGTATGGCATTATAACATATGATTGATCACGGCAATGATTTATCCTATGCCAAATTCTTGGGAAAGAACACAGTCAAACTCTACAACATTATTTATATGGGAAAATATGATCCACCCCTGGACATCCTTATAGCTCAGTAATGAAGTCACTCCTGAGGTTCACCCTTCAGCCAGAGATTAGACAGGCCGATAAAACAAAACGAGACTAAAGGGGCACACCAGCCTGGGGGCAAGGACAAGAAGGCAGGAGGGGACAGGAAAGCTGGTAATGGGGAACCCAGAGTCAAGAAAGGGAGAGTGTTGACATGTCATGGGGTTGGCAACCAATGCCACAAAAGAATCTGTGTATTAATTGTTTAATGAGAAACTAGTTTGCTCTGTAAACCTTCATCTAAAGTACAATTTAAAAAATTTTTAAAAAGATCCACATTACAGGTGCATTTACTGGGCCAAAAATAGGAACTACCTGATTGATTGATTTATGCCCTGCTGCTTTCAGAAATAATTCAAGAAAGCAACTTTACGCGTATGCATAATCACTACATTTGAACAGTACGATTATTATTGTTGTATTGTCGTTTATAGCCATCTTTACACACAATTTTTAGTAGTTCCTGGGTGCTACAGGAGTCTCTGGGTGGTGCAAATGGTTATGTGCTTAACTACTAGCTGACACACTTAACTACTAGCTGAAAGGTTGTTGTTCAAACCCATCCAGGGGCACCTCAGAAACAGTCCTGGCGATCTGCTTCTGAAGTGTCACAGCCTTGAAAACCCTATGGAGCAATGCTACTCTGCACACATGGGGTCACCATGAGTTGGAAATCAATCTGACAGCAACTAACAACACACACGATTTTTAGGTAAACACCTTAATTCATTTTATTTAATCCCCACAACAATCTTATATACTGTTATTCTTTTATTTTACTGATGAGGAAGAAAAGTCTTATGATTAAATAACCTGCCCAAGGTCCCACAGGAATGGTAGAGACGGGATACAAAATTAGACGTCTTCAAAGCCAACCTCTTAAGTACTACATCATAAGCCTGCCCGAGCCACTGTGATTAATGCCATTTAATATAGTCTGCTCCAAAGTTAGGAGCCCTGGTGGCACAGTGGTTAAGCGCTCAGCAGCTAACCGAAAGGTCAGTGGTTTGGACCCACCAGCCACTCCTCGGGGAGAAAGATGTGGCAGTCTGCTTCCATAAAGATTACAGCTTTGGAAACCCTATAGAGCAGTTCTACTCTGTCCTACAGGGTCGCTATGAGTTGGCATTGACTCAATGGCAATGGGTTTTGTTTTTTGGGTTTTGGTCCCAAAGTTTATACCCCTTCACAGTTCCCTAGATTTCTGTTTAAGATAAGTTGTTCCGTTACATTGGTTGTTTTCTCGGCTGCCCACAACAAGGGAAAATTGAAGAAGGCTTCCACAGGTCCCAATTTTTGCTTGGGAACAAAATCTGTAATTTTAACATTCTTAGTGAAGAGCAAACACCATGTCAGAAGATGACTAGGCTATTTTGGCACAAAAAAAGGAGGAGGAAATCTGTATTATTGGGTGTCTACTATGTGCCAGGCACCATGCTAAACACTTATCTGTGTCTCAATCCTCATGACAACACTTCAGAGTAAGTGTATCAGTTAAGATTAGATTCGACTGCATGTTAACGGGGACCAAAACCAATAATGGTTTAAACGAAAGAAAAATCTACATCTTGGTCACGTAGACGTCCTCAGCTAGTGTGATGGCTCTGCCCCACTAAGTCCTCATAGAACTAGGCTTCTTCCAGCTTTCTGTTCTGCCGTCTCTTTGGTGTCACACCTGTCCTCACTGTCCAGATGGGAGCTTTAGCCATCACGTCCACATTCCACACAGCAGGATGGAGGAGAGGGGGAAGGTGTCTCTTAAGGAAGATTTCCAGAAGCTTTCAGGGAC